TAATTAAACAAATAAGGCACCAATGTTTTTGTAAGATATTTACATCTTTTAAGGACATTCGGTAGACTGATTCCCCACTGTTGTTTCAACCCCAAAACTTGTTTGTATTCAAAATTAATTATGACAATGCATATTTATATTGAAACAAACTATGATAAAGGAATTATATTATATAACAAAGGGCAAGGTCATCAGAGTTCAACTATGTTGTTGTCAATGTTGCCATAGATGTGAGATTTATTGTCTATACCTATCTCACTGAACAAACTAGGAATTACTGAATATTTTATTGAATGAACATGAAAACAAACATTTTTACTGATTCGTCCCCTCTGTGAAAATATAATCCACGTCGAAATAAATCTATTTTACAGTAAACATTACCGGTATTACAGATATAATTAGATATAGTTACATGTACTGTAATTTTTGCTAGGAATTTTTGAGATTTGACGATTTTATTCCAGTTGTAAAAAACAATATTTTTTGATGGTTATGGTTTGTAATCAGCAAATTAAACACAATTTCATTCCTATAATCACTCAAGGCAACTTTATTTCAACATGTGCTCCTAAATTTGATTTCAGAATTCTGTTGGATAAGATTTCTCTTGAACTGTACAAATTGCTTACAAGGGTCAGGGAGAGTTTTCTATGGATCTTACAAAGTGGAAATGCAACTTTAACATTCCCATTTTTGAATTTTTGCAGGTGAATTAGGGGACTATATAGCCTCATCGGCAGCATCCTCCAGAAGATCGTCGATTTGCTTAGAGGATTTAGACTTCCTGCTTCCTGATGCAGAGACTTCTTTCAGTACAAGCCAACATGGTGCTATGGTTCTAGGTGGACTTGGTGAACTGCGTGAATACGACATGTTATGTGATGTGAATCTGAATATCTCAGGCACATGCTACCCTGTGCAAGGAGCTCTCCTTGCTGCTACCAGTGGTTTCTTCAACAGCATTCTCTGTCCTAAAGGTACTTGTCATTATGTGCTAATCTCACAATTGCATATACTGGAATGCATAGCTTTTTGTATGGAATTTATTTTCACTGATTTTTGACGAGTTGAATGTAAAATATAGGAAAAATGTATATTCACTGGATTTTATTTTCACCGAACCATTCTTTCAGTGAAAATAGCGAAAATTAATTCCAAGCGAAAATAAAGTATAGTACAGTAGGCAAATATATGTATGATGTCTCAAACTACATCTATGACCAAAATCAAAAGATTTATCATTCTGTAATAAGTCGTGTCTGCACTTAGTTTGACTGTTCCTTGCATGGAACAAGAATATGGCTAGAATGATGGAAAATGAATCCTGTCACTGAACGTTACTGTTCACTCAGTGCAAAATGTTATCTCATATAATTGCTACTACAAGCATGGCAAATATAATAAAATTATCACATGATTATCGCAAAGTATGCACTCTGGCAGTATGGGCAAGTATCAACCTCTGCTACATAATGGTTTTGTCCATCACTGTACTGGATTTGTGCACACTTTGCGGTATTCTTATGATAACATTGTATTATATCGTAGTTGTCAACCATCAATTTTACATTACTAAATATTCGGTAATGATCAAGTTTAGATCGAAGCAAATTTGATGATTGCTTTCCAAAACCATTCTGATTTTCATTTGCAGGTAACACTAAAGAAGAAATCGATGACATCAAAGAACGAAAGATGCCGACAGTCAACGGCATAACAGCGACTATCCGGCAAAGTCTTCATGGTGGGAACAAGAAAGAGATAGAACTAGATGGCATAAGCGCTACCGAAATACGTCGCGTGCTCGAAGTATTATATTCTACCACCCTACCAATTGACGGCAGTGTTGATTTAGATTGCGTGAAAGCTACAGCTGTGAGGTTAGAATTGCAGCCAGTTATTACGCTCTGTGACGACGTGGAGACTCTGAAGATGGGCTAGTCGGTTGCAATATGGTGCACTCGATGCCAACGGTGTACTAGATTTTGCAAATTCTTGCCTTGTGTGTGCAAATTACCATTGGGACATGCTGCTTTATTCAATGATAATTCTGTGAAAGGTTTATAGTAATCTGTAAAATCAGGGATTTATAGACAGGTTGAGGTTTCAAAATGTAGTATATTGAATGAAAATCTGTCGTCAATTACATGGTACATGTTACAAGTAAATTTCTAACTTGCCCTAGTAGACGCGTAGATGGCTGAAATGTCTGGTTACCTCAAATGATGTGTGTTAGTCATTGTTAGAAAACAAAGTCTCTGCTTGATTGTATTACCTGCTTTCTTTCATAATTTTTTTCGGATCTGTTGAAAGAAAATCTGAAAATAAATGTTATCAATATTTTGTCAGAAAACACTGATCATGATTGGGTTACAGTTGTACAATGTAGTACTAAAATATTTTATACGGTAATTTTATGAAATTGTATAAGGCTTCATGATGTGAAATTCACACAATCTGACACCTTATATGCTGAATGTCTCCACAGATAGCCTAAATGAATGGGAATAAAATTGCGTAAGCAGGCATTCTGTTCCATTTGATGTTTACGTCATACATGCAGTCTAGTTTGTGGTATTTCAATCCTTTATGGCTGTTGATAAAAGATAGCAGAAACCACACATGTGTATGAAATTAGGCACTGTGTACCTCTTCCTCTTTTGTGTTTAAGTTTAGGCCAGTAGTTAAAACTACATGTAGCATGTTGGTCACAAACACAAATAGACCTAATTTTCAAAGATCTTATTGACCTATTCTTGCTCCCAAAATAGTGTTCCATACTATACGGTCATCAATCTTATGTTCACCTTGCACATGTAATCACAGTGGAGGCAATGGCGACACAGAATAGAACACTATTTGGCGAAAAAACAAGCCACATTCGCAATCAATGATATCTTAATCCCCATTTGTGATAAAGGTATTTTTTTTGTTTTGCTGTAAACTGTATATTTTTCAATCCCCAAAAATGTTCATGAATTGATTAAATGTTCACCATTCAAATCTGTACCTCTGTAGGTAGTAATAGCAAGAATGGAGAAATTGAATTTTTGTTTTAAGCTTCTCTGAATTTGACAGTTTCATAAATTGTTGCCGATATAAGGCCAATTATCAAAACCAATTATGTAAATTAACTCCCCTCAATTGTGTTAGAATTACATGTAGTATGTGAAGTTACAAATTAAAAAAGAAATTTCATTATAAATAAGTGAGATGTATAAAGACAATATGTACCGGTAAAACAATTTATAGAGTCATATAAACAAATACTAAATCTAGAAATAAGGCTGTCACTTGGTGGCGCTATTTGCTTTGTTTTATGGAGTGGGTGAATCCATTTGGAGCTAGGGGTAAATAATGATTTATATACTATACTATACTTAGTGTAATTTCAATAATTTTTCAGAATAAAAATATTTGATATAAATAAGTTACTAATTTTTGTATAATTTAGACTTAAAATTTTTTCATCATTCCATAATTGATGGTCATTTTATACCTGTGTTCCCTCTTTATGTAATGGTATAACCCAATCCTATTTAATCTTCATATC